ATCTATCTATCTATCTATCTATCTATCTATCTATCTATCTATCTATCTATCTATCTATCTATCTATCTATCTATCTATCTATCTATCTATCTATCTATCTATCTATCTATCTGCCTGCCTGCCTGCCTGCCTGCCTGCCTGCCTGCCTGCCTGCCTGCCTGCCTGCCTGCCTGCCTGCCTTCCTGCCTGCCTGCCTGCCTGCCTGCCTGTCTGTCTGTCTGTCTGTCTGTCTGTCTGTCTGTCTGTCTGTCTGTCTATCTATCTATCTATCTATCTATCTATCAAAAAACAAACATTTAGCAGTTCTATAGCTGCAACTATTTAAAACACTGATTATACTTTTAGTACCTCTTGGATGCATATGAAAACAAACATAATATTAATAGACAAGTCATCTACACTGAGCGCACAAATCATTAGGAACACTTTCCTAATATTGAGTTGCACCCCCTTTTACCCTCAGAACAGCCTCAATTCGTCGGGGCATGGACTCTAAAAGGCGTCGAAAGGGATGCTGGCCCATGTTGACTCGAATGCTTCCCACAGTTGTGTCAAGTTGGCTGGATGTCCTTTAGGTGGTAGACCGTTCTTGATACACACGGGAAACTGTTGAGTGTGAAAAACACAGAAGCGTTGCAGTTCTTGACACACTCAAACCGGTGCGCCTGGCAGCTACATACCCCCTTCAAAGGCACTTAAATATTTTGTCTTGCATATTCACCCTCTGAATGGTACACATACACAATCCATGTCTCAATTGTCTCAAGGTTTAAAAATATTTCTTTAACCTGTCTCCTCCCCTTCATCTACACTGATTGAAGTGGATTTAACAAGTGACATTAATAAAGGATCATAGCTTTCACCTGGATTCACCTGGTCACTCTATGTCATAGAAAGAGCAGGTGTTCCTAATGTTTTGTACACTCAGTTGTATGTATTGACAGTTCAATGCTAATCGTCTATATAAATTCCTGCTAATCTATCTAATGAAGTCTAATTTCTAAAGCATAGTCTAGGTTCAATGATATCAAAACTATGTTTCGTTGATCTATGCCGACATTACAGTTTTGTGTCATGCACACATGACTGTAAGTCGCTTTGGATAAAAGCGTTTGCTAAATGGCATATTATTATTATTATTATTCCCTTAGCAGAGCCACATGTCAGACTGAGCTCAATGACTCCCCCCAGTGGCAGACCCTGCCATGCTGATGTGCAGCGCCTACGACTTCTACCCCAAACCAATCAGAGTGACGTGCCGGCGGAACGGACAGGAGGTGAAATCTGATGTGCCCTCCACGAGGAGCTGGCTGATGGGGACTGGTACTACCAGATCTACTCCCACCTGGACTTACACCTAAGTCTGGAGAGAAACATTTGCAGTTTTACAGCTAATTTCCTGCAATTCTATACATTTTGCAATACAGTGGATATAAATGTTTGTTTTGTGTCCCACACCCCATATGATTCTTATTTCCCCTCTCTCTTTCTCTCTTTTTTTTCGTTCTCTCTTCCTTCTGTAACAGGGGTGCTCTAGCAGCAATGAGCTAAAGTGAGCCTCCTATTCTGATTAATCACCAGTTACAATGGCTTGTTATCACCAGTTATTTTCAGGCTTCAAGACACATTGCTGTATCTGCTGCATGGATCCAACATGAGATTTTATTGCTTGTTAGAAATCACTATGCCTGAAAAGACATCTACTGCTGGAGTGTATTACTAAACATGAATCAATACTTTCTTAATATTTTTGGTAACATATTATCCTAAAACCTTTCATAAGAAATGAATGAACAACATTAGACTTGACAGTAATAAGACTAATAGGGCTATGAGAATCATGCAATCAATTGTATTTAGCTTAGAACTGGTAGAGACACTGAGGGTAAACTGTGTTAATGACCTACTATAAGTACTTTTGAGTGGGCAGTATAAGGGGTCCACTGTGCTTGGGGTACTTTCCTCACCTGTACTGTTTTGTGTGTCTTTTTTCACCAATGAGAAAGTTACAACTTTGTTCTTAATTAAAGGCACAAAAGACAAACAAATAGGTTAAGTAAATTGTGAAAATAATGTGTATGGTAATACTGGTGATTTGAGAGGGAGTAAAAAATAAATAAAAGTCCTAGTTTTCTAAGTGCTTTAATTTCAGACTTGAGTCTTAAGACTTTTTATGTGATTGATATTTCAACTCTGATTGATTTCAGCTCCCCTTTAGAGATGTGTGTTGCTCATTTGCTGTTCTGTCATGGTGGTGGTTTCAGGTCCTCAAAATAACTGGGACATATTTTTGATATGCCTTTGAGATGATACAAGCTTTCCAATAAACCATTATAAATGTCATGATGCAGTGTCTCTCAGTTTACTAGGGTTTGGTTTGATGTTTTCTTGGTATCTGAGGCAAAATGATGGTAGGCCTGAACAAGTTGTGTATCTGTCGCTCCCCTGTGGTTGTGGTTGGTGTGACATACATGTTCTGAATCCTAAATCGATCCCTAGGTCCTACTCCACGTAGATTTGAAAAGATCAAGAAGGTCTAAGCAATATGGTCATTACTTCACCTGCCTTCTGATAGGGTATCACATACAACCACAGAGTGGTTTCAGTACAACGGTTATGCTATTACATAGGCATAAGGTTACATTTTCAGTTGCATTTCTCATAAGTTTATGCTTTGCACGACTATAGGCTATTATACTGTTCAGATCTATACATTGTTAGTATAGTCTGTCGTTTTTGGCTTGAGTGCCGATAGTGTACATACTGTATGTGGATTGTGTAAATTCTGCATCTACAGTGTATTATGTCCGTACTTTCTGTCTATTGTCTGTCTGTTTATTGTCTGTCTGTTATCTGTCTGTTATTGTCTGTCTGTAACTCTGTAGCAGCTCCAATTCACTGAGTCAAATTCCTGTACATACAAATGTATTTGGTGAATAAAGGTGATTCTGATTTCAAAGTCTGACTTGCATTTGGACACAAATGCACGTTTGCATTGGCATGTATTTTGTATGTCAACTGTATATATACTGTGCATTCGGAAAGTATTCAGACCCCTTGACTTTTTCCACATTTTGTACGTTACAGCCTTATTCTAAAATGGATGAATTGTTTTCTTCTTCTCATCAATCTACACACAATACCACATAATGACAAAGCAAAAACAGGTTTTTAGAAATGTTAGCAAATATATTAAAAATATAAAACTGAAATATTACATATAAATAAGTATTCAGACCCTTTACTCAGTACTTTGTTGAAGCACCTTTGGCAGCGATTACAGCTTCAAGTCTTCTTGGGTATGACGCTAAAAGCTTAGCACACCAGTATTTTGGGAGTTTCTCCCATTCTTCTGTGCAGATCCTCTCAAGCTCTGTCAGGTTGGATGGGGAGTGTCGCTGCACAGCTATTTTCAGGTCTCTCCAGAGATGTTCGATCAGGTTCAAGTCCGGGCTCTGGCTGGGCCACTCAAAGACATTCAGAGACTTGTCCCGAAGCCACTCCTGCATTGTCTTGGCTGTGTGCTTAGGGTCGTTGTCCTGTTGGAAGGTGAACCTTCACCCCAGTCTGAGGTCCTGAGCGCTCTGGAGCATCAAGGAGCTCTCTGTACTTTGCTCCGTTCATCTTTCCCTCGATCCTGACTAGTCTCCCAGTCCCTGCCGCTGAAAAACATCCCCACAGCATGATGCTGCCACCACCAATCTTCACTGTAGGGATGGTGCCAGGTTTCCTCCAGACGTGAAGCTTGGCATTCAGGCCAAATAGTTCAATCTTGGTTTCATCAGACCAGAGAATCATGTTTCTCATGGTCTGAGAGTCCTTTAGGTGCCTTTTGGCAAACTCCAAGCGGGCTGTCATGTGCCTTTAACTGAGGAGTGGCTTCCGTCTGGCTACTCTACCATAAAGGCCTGATTGGTGGAGTGCTGCAGAGATTGTTGTCCTTCTGGAAGGTTCTCCCATCGCCACAGAGGAACTCTGGAGCTCTGTCAGAGTGACCATCGGGTTCTTGGTCACCTCCCTGACCAATGCCCTTCTCCCCCGATTGCTCAGTTTGGCCAGGCAGCCAGCTCTAGGAAGAGTCTTGGTGGTTCCAAACTTCTTCCATTTCAGAATGATGGAGGCTACTGTGTTCTTGGGGACCTTCAATGCTGCAGAATTTTTGGGTACCCTTCCCCAGATCTGTGCCTCACCACAATCCTGTCTTGGAGCTCTACGGACAATTCCTTCGATCTCATGGCTTGGTTTTTGCTCTGACATGCACTGTCGACTGTGGGACCTTATATAGAAAAGTGTGTGCCTTTCCAAATCATGTCCCATCAATTGAATTTACCTCAGGTGGACTCCAATCAAGTTGTAGAAACATCTCAAGGATGAGCAATGGAAACAGGATGCACCTGAGCTCAATTTCGAGTCTCATAGCAAAGGGTCTGAATACTTATGTAAATAAGGTATTTATATATATATATATATTTTTTTTGCAAAACCTTCTAAAAACCTGTTTACGCTTTATCATTATGGGGTACTGTGTGTAGATTGATGAGGAAAAAACTAATTTAATTAATTTTAGAATTAGGCTGTAACATAACAAAATGTGAAAAAAGTCAAGGAGTCTGAATACTTTCCGAATGCACTGTATGCTTCAGTAAGGTTGGCTTCTTAGCGTTCATAGCAATGGTTATCAACTGTAACGCAGAAATGGAACGTATATCACAGAAAATAGATGTTGCGGTGGTAGCTGCAGAGAAGGATTTTGGGTATACGAGATTTGACTTAAGGGTGTGTTGAGTGGTGATGTTCCATCCTCTCAGGCCATTGGCAAGGTAGGGTCAAAGTAGTGGAATGGGGTAGTGGGTTTTTAATGAGTGTAGGGTTAGTTAGAAGGAGTTTTTATTATTATTATTATTATTTTTTCTATTTTGTGTCACAAAGTATAATATAATTATATTATAGTCTAGCTGGGGGCGGTAATGAAACATATTGGATGCCAACCGCCGTTAAACCCCAAAGAAGAAGAAGCAGCAGAAGCATTTCCCTTTCGGTGTTTTTGAGCACGCACACACTTCCTGCAGAAACAAGCGAACTCATTCAACGATCTAGAGCGGGTGGTAGGCAACTATAGTATTTTCTTTCTAGACTGCGAATCCAACGTTATTTTCCATTATAGATGTATGAGCCATACATAATGTTGTTTAATAGTATCGTAGAGTGTAACGTTACCCTAGCTCTGACTGTCTGAATTAATGCTGGTGGTGTTAACGTAGCTACTGTACACATATTTCCTACCGATCTGCACGTTTCCACACGCGAGCTAACGCGGCATTTTGTGTTTTAATTGCATGTTCCCAATCGCGTATCTTCAACTAAATGTTTTTTTTTACAGATCTAAAATCTTTAAGATGTTTTTGACCAGATCGGAGTACGACAGGTAAGACTCGGAACTCTGCATTGTCATGACACCGGGCTAGCTAACTAGCCGCTAACAATTACATCGTTAACTTGCCCGTACGTACCACAATACTCTTTGTTTAGCTCGCCATCTAGTTGGCTAGTTAGGTGGTTTGTGCACTTGTTGTGTCTGGTAAACATTTGCGAATTAGTCATTCCTTACTGGTATATTGTAATATGTCACTGAAATTGCCGTGATAGTTTGCTGGATAACGTTAGCTAGCTAACGTTAAAGTTTCTTTCACTTTCACTTAGCTAACGTTAGTTAGTTACAGTAACTAATTGCATAATGGTTGTGTTCCAGTCTGGTGTATTTTGTGTAGAGAAATAAGCTTAATTTGTGCGGAGAAAGAAGTTTACGTTACCTGCTACCTCCGTTCTTCTAGAAAGCGCTAGCTAATCCTGAAGTTGGCTGGCTAGCCAACGTTAGCTACAATACATTTTTCTAAACCTTCACAGTACAGTACTGACGGAATAGCTATTGGAACTTCAGTGCACTAAATCTCATCTTTTTTTCAGAGGAGTAAACACCTTTTCTCCAGAGGGACGACTGTTCCAAGTGGAATATGCTATTGAGGCTATTAAGGTATTTTCAAAACATAAAATTCAATATCACAAGAACACACCATTACACTTTACCTATAATAATAGCTTCCTCGGAAGACATTGTTCGTTGTCACGGAAAATAGGCAACGTTGTGCGTCATCTGTATATAGCGTTCAAAAGGTACTCTCACTCAAAGCATGAAAAATAATAACCCAAGGAGGCCGAGATGCAAAAATAATCAACTTAATTTAATCCATGCTCAAAATAATACTGAGGGTGACCGTGCAAGGTGCTAAAAATAAAACAAAAATTAACATGTATTGGCCTTAATTAGTGCTGTAAAAAGAAATTAAGTACACAACTGCTGTGGGTAACAAGTGCAGCAGGTGCAGCCATCCTTAAATACTAGAGAATGGAATGTCAACAAGGTATATTAGCATAGAATATCGGCGGCGCACAATTGCCCCCCCGTCGTCCAGGGTAGGGGAGGGAATGGCCGGCAGGGACTCAGTTGGTAGAGCATGGCGTTTGCAACGCCAGGGTTGTGGGTTCGATTCCCACGGGGGGCCAGTATAAAAAATAATGTATGCACTCACTAACTGTAAGTCGCTCTGGATAAGAGCGTCTGCTAAATGACTAAAATGTAAATGTAATATGTAGTAGAGAAATATAAAAAATGGACAATTCAAATGTCACATTATTTAAGTTCTTATTGGCAGACTAAATAGCCTTGGTTTCTCAAATGACTGCCTCGCCTGGTTCACCAACTACTTCTCAGATAGAGTTCAATGTGTCAAATTGGAGGGCCTGTTGTCTGGACCTCTGGCAGTCTCTATGGGGGTGCCACAGGGTTCAATTCTCGGGCCAACTCTATTCTCTATGTATATCAATGATGTCGACTCTCAGATCCACCTCTACACAGACGACACCATTTTGAATACATCTGGCCCTTCATTGGACACTGTGTTAACAAACCTCCAAACGAGCTTCAACACCATACAACACTCCTCCAGTAGCCTCCAACTGCTCTTAAACGCTAGTAAAACTAAATGCATGCTCTTCAATCGAACGCTGCTTGCACCCGCCTGCCCGACTAGAATCACTACTCTCGGCGGGTCTGACTTAGGATATGTGGATAACTACAAATACCTAGGTGTCTGGTTAGACCGTAAACTCCTTCCAGACTCACATTAAGGATCTCCAATCCAAAGTTAAATCTAGAATCGGCTTCCTATTTCGCAACAAAGCCTCCTTCACTCATGCTGCCAAACATGCCCTTGTAAAACTTTACTATCCTGCCAATCCTTGACTTCGGCGATGTCATTTACAAAATAGCCTCCAACACTCTACTCAGCAAATTGGATGTAGTCTATCACAGTGCCATCTGTTTTGTCACCAAAGCCCCATATACTACCCACCATTGTGACCTGTACGCTCTCATTGGCTGGCCCTCACTACATATTCGTCGCCAATCCCACTGGCTCCAGGTCATCTATAAATCTCTGCTAGGCAAATCCCTGCCTTATCTTAGCTCATTGGTCACCATAGCAACACCCACCCATAGTATGCGCTCCAGCAGGTATATCTCACTGGTCATACCCAAAGACAACACCTCCTTTGGCCGCCATTCCTTCCAGTTCTCTGCTGCTAATGACTGGAACGAACTGCAAAAATCTCTGAAGCTGGAGACTCTTATCTCCCTCACTAACTTTAAGCATCAGTTGTCAGAGCAGCTTACCGATCACTGCACCTGTACACAGGCCATCTGTAATTTGCCCACCCAACTAACTCATCCCCATATTGTTATTTATTTTGCTCATTTGCACCCCAGTATCTCTATTTGCACATCATCTTCTGCACATCTATCACTCCAGTGTTAATACTAAATTGTAATTATTTTTCACTATGGCCTATTTATTGCCTTACCTCCATAACTTACTACATTTGCACACACTGTATATAGATTTTCTATTGTGTTATTGACTGTATGTTTTGTTTATCCCATGTGTAACTCTGTGTTGTTGTTTTATCGCACTGCTTTGCTTTATCTTGGCCAGGTCGCAGTTGTAAATGAGAACTTGTTCTCAACTGGCTTACCTGGTTAAATAAATAAAATAAAAAAGTTAGACAACGGTCTAGGCTACATAACGATACAGTACTCAAGTATAAAGCTTAGAGAGCGGGGCTGGGGACAACTGGTCATCTCTGTATATGACATTTCTATCTGAAAGAGTCTGAACACCTGTTGTCTCTCAGCTGGGCTCCACAGCCATTGGCATCCAGACGTCTGAGGGGGTGTGTCTGGCCGTGGAGAAGAGGATCACATCTCCTCTAATGGAGCCCAGCAGCATCGAGAAGATTGTGGAGATCGACACCCACATCGGTAAGCAGGCAGAGCAGGGACTACTCGCTAGGCAGGGCCAGACACTGTCAAACAACACAAAGAAGTGAACACTTATTGGAGCTCAGGTTGTTTGTATAACACATGACCTGACCGGTCTATGGAGAAAAGAAGTGTTCTCAATCATTCTGGGAAAATAAAAGGTAACTGGATGAGGCGGTCAGAATCATTTTTATAGGCTCAACATATTTTTGTATCAGAAAAGTATTTTTAAGATAAGCACCACTGTGTAAAAGAGGCCTTGTATAGACCGTGTTTCAGAGATAGTATTCAAAGTTTGAAAATGTGTTTGAGTGTCCGTCTCATCTCCTCAAAGGTTGTGCTATGAGTGGCTTGATAGCTGATGCCAAGACTCTTATCGACAAAGCAAGAGTGGAGACACAGGTATGTACACGTGTTGAGTTGGCTGAATTCAAGTACAGGTGCATTTTCTAGCTGAACATTACTACACTGTCGAGGTGAAAATGAACACATGACTAATGTTTGCGCTTATGAGATGCACACTACGTCGTCAACTACTTGTAAAGCAATTTTGTACAACAAAAAGGAAAGCATTTTAGTTCCTCAACTACTTGATATGTAAAGTGTTTTAGTTTCTTTCCTTTTTACCCCTGCTTTGTTTGTCCCCTTCCAGAACCACTGGTTCACCTACAACGAGACCATGACAGTGGAGAGTGTGACCCAGGCCGTGTCTAACCTGGCCCTGCAGTTTGGAGAGGAGGATGCAGACCCTGGAGCCATGGTTAGTGACCACAGAAAGATGAGACAAAACCTCCAAGATCAACTCACTCACTTACTGCTCACTCACTTATTGCAAACTTTTTCATTCATTCAGTGATGTATTAATTCATCAATGTATGACATAGAAACTGGTAGAGGTTGAAAGCACTTTTCCAGCTAGTTGTCACTTATTTTCCCACAGCTGTGAGGTGTCACACTGTACTCATTCCCTGTGGTTCTCTCTCCTCAGAGCCGACCCTTCGGTGTAGCGCTTCTCTTTGGTGGACTGGATGAGAAAGGGCCCCAGCTGTACGTTAATCTATTCAACATACATTTAACACTTTGTTTTTGTGTGGTATAATTGGTTTGGGCAAAATCTTTCATACCTCACTTCTAATCCAGGATTTGTGCTGAGTTTTCATCAGAATCAGACCTTCAGTCTTCATCAGATGGTGAAATGTCTCTTGAATTTCTACAACCTCTAATTTTCCAACTTCGTGTGTGTGTAGGTACCATATGGATCCGTCAGGCACCTTTGTCCAGTGTGATGCCCGGGCCATTGGCTCTGCCTCTGAGGGAGCCCAGAGCTCTCTGCAGGAGGTCTACCACAAGGTACCATCATCCTCCTCTCCTCTGTTGCTGTCACCCCATCATTACCATCACCCACCACAACTGTTTCCTTCATTACTTCCTCCATCACCCACCATTCCCTTTCCTTCCTCCTCTCCCACCACAACTCCACCAGACTGTCAGTCGGTTTCATTCTCCATCCTATCACAAGGGTGACGACAGTATTATTTATTTTATTTATTAAGCAAGACCTCTGTTTTCTCTCTGGGTGGCCTCTCCAGTCCATGACGTTAAAAGAGGCCATCAAGTCATCCCTCACCATCCTAAAGCAGGTGATGGAGGAGAAGCTGAATGCTACCAACATTGAGGTGAGCTCTAATCCTTCATTCTCAACCACTGACCCTACCTCTAGTCTATACATCTATTGGAGATGTGGAAGTTGTTGGATCTAAGCAATATTGTGTAAGCTCCACTAAGCCTACCAGACATCTTGGTGGAGCTATTGTCATATTGTATTGTTTACCATAAGTTCAGGTCTGCTCAGCCTTAGTCCTAGAGGGACTAATATTTCTGTTTTACTGGTGTACCAGCTATCGTTAGGGTGATGGACAGCAATGATCCAAAACATATCATCACATTTGTGTGCTAACCTGCTCTCCCCTCTCTCACCCCTTCAGCTGGCTACAATAGAGCCAGGCAAGACCTTCCACATGTATTCCAAAGAAGAGCTGGAGGATGTTATCAAGGACATCTAGAGCAGAGTGGGGCTTTGTGGGCCTAGTCAGCGCTGAGGAGAGGTAATCTGCCTGGGCTCTGAGGATCACCACACATCTACAACTACATTTCCTATCAGCACTCTCTCGCTGCATTCATTGGTTCCTTGTGTGGAAGGGAGGCAACTCTTTGTAGTGTGTTATATATTTTTATTCTTTTGGCTCTGGATATGGGCGGCAGGTAGCCTAGCGGTTAAGAGCGTTGGGCCAGTAACCGAACGGTCGCTGGTTCGAATCCCCTAGCCGACTAGGTGAAAAATCTGTTGATGTGCCCTTGAGCAAGGCAGTTGTCCCTAATTGCTCCTATAGGTCGCTCTGGATGAGAGCGTCTGCTACATGACTAAAATGTAAAATGGATACTGCAGATTTCTACAGTGCTGTAGAGGCATCAGTCAGATCTGTGCTTAGAGCTGAATGACATTAAAGGGGGGTGCTTTTTGTTAAGGATCAATGCCAAAATAAAACCGTTGTATTGTAAAAGGAGTGGTTTGTGTCATTGGCTCCATGGTGTGTGTACTTATGACGGTTTCATTACCAAAATCATACAGGAGGGTGAGGTTGACAACCTTTATCTGGTTTTGTCCGCCAGGAAGCGTAATTACACAGAACTTTGCTCCAACTGGGAAGAACCAGGAATGAATAGAGACGGCTACAGTCCAATGAAAAGGCATTTCAATAAAGTCTCAACCAATCGGCTTTCTAGGTGGGCGTCTCATTTTAAAACGCCACAGTTCACTTCTGCATCAGATAAACCGTATGCATGCATGTCGCTTACGTGGGGTAGTCTAAACAAAGTTGGTGATAATAGAAACTGGTTACTATATGGATATTGTAGCAACAAAAAAAATTCAGACGTGTGAATATGACTCCGCTGTATTGCATCGCTGTTGCCTGGTTATTTACCTCTGCACTATGCGAGGATTTCTGTAAGAAAGCCAACTTCTTCGGCGGGGCACACACGTTTGTGAAGACCCCGAGACCGAGAGATCCACCGGTGTTGTCGGGACACAACATTAACACACGGAGTACTGACCCCGACGGAGAGACGTGCAAATCTCTAACGGGATTCGAATCCACGCTAAAAAATAACACACACACCGTAAGTTTTTTTTGTATTATGATAGGCTGCTGTTTGTAAAAAAAAAATTGGGAAAATATTTATTATAAAGCTGCACATTGTCATTGAATTGTGTCGCAGCAACCCAGATATCCCACCACAGCGAAAATAGTCACAATCTCAAGGAGTTGATTTAGAAATCGTCAGGTCCATTGTGATAATTAATCTGTCATTTGAGACCTTTCAGACTGCTGTGGTGATACTTCTTCATGACATGACTCATGGTTCTCATCACCAAGTGGGCTATACATTCATAATTGAATAGATGGATGCAATTTATTGCATGTTCTGACATATTATAGACTGTCTTAAAGCTAGAATCCTTAGTTGCTATATACATTTTAGGCTTAATAAATTAACGATATATACCCATTGATACTTGAACTAAACTCGAGGCATTTATAAGTTGTATTCTCCAACTGCCGACCCCATAGAACCTAAAATATAAGCTTGTTTTTACTCCAACAATGTAAATGTAACACCCCCCCCCCCCCCCCCCTCCCCCCCAATATGCAGTCATGTTTCTCATAATGCATCCATTATTGATAGAGAACGGATCATATTGTGGCAGCAGTCTTCCTACATTCTGTAGGCCTGTCTGTACAGTTTGGTAAAATATGCTGTGATTTAAATACACAAAAACATCATGATTACTTATGTTTTAACCTCCTGCTGTTGCTGGGCATGTTGCTTTGCATCAAGTCTTTCTGTTGACAGCCGGTTATAGCAGCCAGAGTGGTTGCCTATATTGCAGAAAGAGGTGTGTTGGGGAATGTAAATTGCTGTCTGTAAGCAGCAGTCCCAGTGTGAGTTCATGTGACTGTACACTAGCAGGGTCTCATTTGATTGGCTGCTCTCTGTGCAGTTCACTGCTCCACAGTGATGCAGTAGGGAACGGGACATACTGTTTCATTACTGTTTGCAACATGAAACTAACTATATAAGTATGATGTTCTAAGACTGACAAAAAGTCAGTACACTGCAGGCATGCCATGATTGAGGTGGAGAGGAAATGGAAACCCATGTAACATATTTGCAGCATTTGTTTCCCTATAAGTCAACTGGCCTGCCTCTCTGTCACTGAGGAGTCAGGTGATGCTGTTCAGCCAGCTGAAGGCAGTTGCTAATGTGGTTAAAGTGTAAGCCACCGCTAACTCAAGCTAAATGTGGCCTTATGAGGAGCAGCAAAAATGGCAGTGTTTATCTGGGCTAACCTGCCCCATACGCTGTGATGCCTCTGGCTCTGCTGTTGGCCTACTAGAACACTCCTGCAGCCCAGACTCTACATGGCGTCTCTGTGTGGAGTGGGTTGTGGGCCCTGCAAATGTGACTCAATGCTGAGATGTCAAGGGACCCACTGCTACAGCACAGGAGGTTGGTGGCACCTTAATTGGGGAGGACGGGCTCGTGGTAACTGCTGGAGTGGAATGGTATCAAACACATGGTTTCCATGTGTTTGATGACATTCCATTTGCCTCATTCCAGCCCTAATTATGAGCTGTCCTCCCCTCAGCAGCCTCCACTGTTAACAGGCATTCACTTTGGGAGCTAACAAGTCTTCAGGTCTTGGGCAAGGTAACATATCATTTTGGTGAAACATCTCTTTTACACAGGATAAATATAGTTTGTGGGTCTGAGAGACCTTCAGTGCACAGACAGCTCCCTAATAAAGCACCGAGGCATTGTCCATGCCATGGATGTGCTGTGTCAACTGAACCAAACTGAACTCTGGCCACTGATGTTTTTTTCTGGATCAAAAAGGGGCTTAGGTGGTGGGTGTGGCAATGGACGTGTTTGGCGCGGCTGAATTTTAGATAACATTTTAAAGGCCCCCATCTTGGTGTTTTGTTGTTGTTGCAATTCTAGAATTTTTAAGCTTATTTCCTGCAATTCTCCATGGAGCCAAGATTTAGACTGGCCAAGAGCCAGTTTTAAAGTACATTCCCTGGAATTCTACACATTTTGCCATGAAGCTGAAAGAAAATGTAGCAGTTTTAAAACTAATTTCCAGGAATTCTACATATCCTGCCATGGAGCTGAGAGAAAAGTAAAAAATAAATATATACACTACCGTTCAAAAGTTTGGGGTCACTTAGAAATGTCATTGTTTTCGAAATAAAATCATTTTTTTGGTCCATTGAAATAACATCAAATTGATCAGAAATACAGTGTAGACATTGTTAATGTTGTAAATGGCTACTGTAGCTGGAAATGGCTGAATTTTAATGGAATATCTAAATAGGCGTACAGAGGCCCATTATCAGCAACCATCAGTCCTGTGTTGCTAATCCAAGTTTATCATTTTAAAAGGCTAATTGATTATTAGAAAACCCTTTTGCAATTATGTTAGCACAGCTGAAAACTGTTGTGCTGATTAAAGAAGCAATAAAACTGGCCTTCTTGAGACTAGTTGAGTATCTGGAGCATCAGCAATTGTGGGTTCGATTACAGGCTCAAAATGGCCAGAAACAAATAACTTTCTTCTGAAACTCATCAGTCTATTCTTGTTCTGAGAAATGAAGGCTATTCCATGCGAGAAATTGCCAAGAAACTGAAGATCTCGTACAATGCTGTGTACTACTCCCTTCACAGAACAGCACAAACTGTCTCTAACCAGAATAGAAAGAGGAGTGGGAGATCCCGGTGCACAACTGAGGAAGAGGACAAATACATTAGAGTGTCTAGTTTGAGAAACCGGCGCCTCACAGGTCCTCAACTGGCAGCTTCATTAAATAGTACCCGCAAAACACCAGTCTCAACGTCAACAGTGAAGAGGCGACTCCGGGATGCTGACCTAGGCAGAGCTGCAAAGAAAAAGCCATATCTCTGACTGGCCAATAAAAATAAAAGATTAAGATGGGCAGTCTGAGATATGGCTTTTTCTTTGCAACTCTGCCTAGAAGGTCAGCATCCCGGAGTCGCCTCTTCACTGTTGACGTTGAGACTGGTGTTTTGCGGGTACTATTTAATGAAGCTGCCAGTTGAGATTGCTGATAATGGGCCTCTGTACGCCTATGTAGATATTCCATTAAAAATCAGCCGTTTCCAGCTACAATAGCCATTTACAACATTAACAATGTCTACACTGTATTTCTGATCAATTTGATGTTATTTTAATGGACAAGAAGACATTTCTAAGTGACCCCAAACTTTTGAACGGTAGTGTGTATATACAGTTGAAGTCGGAAGTTTACATGCACCTTAGCCAAATACATTTAAACTCAGTTTTTCACCATTCCTGACATTTAATCCTAGTAAAAATTCCCTGTCTTAGGTCAGTTAGGATCACCACTTTATTTTAAGAATGTGAAATGTCAGAATAATAGTAAAGAGAATGATTTATTTCAGCTTTTATTTCTTTAATCACATTCCCAGTGGGTCAGAAATGTACATACACTCAATTAGTATTTGGTAGCATTGCCTTTAAATTGTTTAACTTGGGTCAAACGTTTCGGGTAGCCTTCCACAAGCTTCCCACAATAAATTGGGTGAATTTTGGCCCATTCCTCCTGACAAAGCTGGTGTAACTGAGTCAGGTTTGTAGGCCTCCTTGCTCGCACACGCTTTTTCAGTTCTGCCCACACATTTTCTATAGGATTGAGGTCAGGGCTTTGTGATGGCCACTCCAATACCTTGACTTTGTTGTCCTTAAGCCATTTTGCCACAACTTTGGAAGTATGCTTGGGTCCATTTGGAAGACCCATTTGTGACCAAGCTTTAACTTCCTGACTGATGTCTTGAGATGTTGCTTCAATATATCCACATAATTTTCCTTCCTCATGATGCCATCTATTTTGTGAAGTGCACCAGTCCCTCCTGCAGCAAAACACCCCCACAGCATGATGCTGCCACCCCCGTGCTTCATGGTTGGGATGGTGTTCTTCGGCTAGCAAGCACCCCCTTTTGCCTCCAAACATAACGATGGTCATTATGGCCAAACAGTTCTATCAGACCAGAGGACATTTCTCCAAAAAGTACAATCTTTGTCCCTATTTGCAGTTGCAAACCGTAGTCTGGCTTTTTTATGGCGGTTTTGGAGCAGTGGCTTCTTCCTTGCTGAGCGGCCTTTCAGGTTATGTCGATATAGGACTTGTTTTACTGTGGATATAGCTACTTTTGTACCTGTTTCCTCCAGCATCTTCACAAGGTCCTTTGCTGTTGTTCTGGGATTGATTTGCACTTTTCGCACCAAAGTACGTTCATCTCTAGGAGACAGAACGCG